ATAATTAATCTATTAATCATGTAATATATTAATAAATCCTTCATTTTGATTTTTAATTAATTTATCAATCATATAATAAATTAATAAATCAACATCTCCCTCCCTCTCTCTCTCTCTCCCTCTCTCTCTCCAAAAGTCATTCCATTCAGTTACTAGTTATGAGGACAACCCAAAAATGACTTTTTTCTTAATTCAAGAATATACGAATTTAGTTATTGGCTTAGACACCTTAATAAAACAATCTCCCTCCTGAATAAGTCTGCAACTACAATTGAAAGTATAGACCTTGAAGTAAACAACAAATAGTGCTTTCTAAAGCCACTGCCAAACTCAGATTCAAATTAGTTTTAGGCCCTAAGATAAGTGATTAGTATTCCTTCGTTCTACAACATATTGTATGGACATGAGATATGGATCAAAATCAATCTCATTGTCCAAGATTTTGTTTCCTGGTTTTCCGATTTGTAAAGACCTTAGTGACTTCAATTGAATACATCAATTAGTCATGGTTTGGCCAATCAATTATAATGTCAATATAAAATCATATAGGGGCCCAATGATATCTCTTTTCCTATTAGGGGGAAATGAATGAATTATTTTGACTATATAGTCATACAATTTACATATCAAATGACACATGAATAACCCTTTATAGCATCCAATTACGAGATACGTTTAAGCAAACCAATGCATAACTTATCTATAAACTATAAAATATATATCTGTGCTTTAAGAATAATAGATATTATCGTCTTGTTATTACTCATGCCAAGATCCATGAAGTAATATCTAAGAGTGGGTTTATCCAGTACTTAAAATCCATATTTTCAAAGTACTCATGAATATTGTAGCAATTCAAATTGCATTGTATTAACCTTAATCGACATTTTACAATCAATTCATGACAATATTAATTGATTACTTACTTCCAAAAGTATGAACGAATGTGGAAGTTTGAATAATTCAAATTACCTAGGAAGTGTAAACATGTAAAAAGAAATCCACAAATAATAATTGAATAAGGCAGTACGATACTCATAAGTAATTATCTATTATTTAATCACCAAATCAATTACACTTATTTTGTTACAAGTTTCAAAATATCACCTAACTACTATAACTAATATCATCTCTTAAACCTATGCTCCTAGCATACTTGTAGTGTGTCACACCATCGACCTGGTGGCGGAAAAAACGAATGACGCGACATTGAGTAAATGTTGACTTATGGAAGAGGCTTTCAAGTCAAGTATTGTCTAAATCCTCATCTTCTTCGGTAGACTGAGAGTAGTCCCTACTCTTTGGCCGGTTAGTCTTTCGTTTATGTTGATGATCTAGGAATATATGTGATTTTGAGAGGGTCAACATAATGTTAGTGATTTCACAGGTTTGGTAAGCGTGAAAATGCTATGTCGAAGTTATTAAGTTAGCACTTGTTGTATTCTCAACCTATGTCGAAGTTAGATAAAGGCTTATCGAAGCTCAAAAATCCAATCATCGAATCATGCAATCGAAATCCATGTCTTCACGATCAGACTAAGTTCACTTCTTCCTTTAAGCTTCCTTTCTTTTCTTCGATCCTACAAAACATCAAAATGTAATCGTACCACATCATGTATTTAGAATCTAAAATAGAAAACTTAATAGAGTTGGATAGTGGATTTTACCTGAAGCAGAGTCATACATCTTAACTTTCTCATCTCTTAGATCTCTCAGGTAGTTAGGGAAGCTTCGTAACCAATGCCCTTTCTCTTGGCAGTAGAAACAAATGGACTCTTCTGGAATGGTACATGGGACTATCTCACACTCAGCCTCTCTCTTGCGTAGAGAAAACTTTTCTGGAGTTCTAATGTTGCCATTATCCATAGAAGGTTAGGATATTGATCTACCAGAAAATTTTGCTTGACCAGTTTGCCAAATCATTGTTGATTCAACAACAATAAGCAAATAGGTAAGATTTATGAGGGTCACATCGTCGTCCATCATATAGTACTCTCTATTGAACTCACTATATAAGTCAGGAAGTGACTGAAGAACCCTGTTAACAACCAACTTTCTTGAGACATCGACACCTAACATCCTCAACCTGTCAATATATGACTTTGTCACTAAGACATGTGCACACACACACTTTCCATCTTCGTGTCTTTTTCCCAATAGGGCTTGAGTGACTTTAAACATTTCAAGTCTTCAAACACGTGGGTCAGTGAGAATTATTGGAGGAGGTGGAGGTAGTGAAGCATGATTTCCATTTCCACAATCCAAGCGTGGAACATCATCTTCAAGCAGAAAACTTTAAGACCATAGTTGATAGATTTTTACATCTACAAAACGGGAGAAATTCAAGTTAGTTGATTGAGTCCTTAATAAAACACCAAAATGAGATATTAAGGCTGGGACCCAACACAATTTTATACAACTTGGAAGAGGGATGCTGTAATCCAAATTGTAGAATATTTGAAGGTAGGTAAATGGCGATTTACCAATTTCCACCATGAAAAAGAAAAATCAAAAATTAGGTTTTAAATGAATTGAAACTCCTAGATCCTTTGAGATTCATTGAACTTTTCAATGGCATGTTTAAATCTCGACTGTGTCCTTCAAGTTTGTAACTAGGATGCCAAGGATCACAAACAAGTTGTGGATAACCATGCAAATTAGCTTGGTACTCTCGATGTTACAAATCACCTAATCAATGTGTCGGTTAACCACATACACTCCATTGATCTATGATAAACACAAAGCTACCCATTGCCATCCTTTATTGGTCCCATATTAGTGTGCAGGTTAACCACACACGCTCCACTAACGACCAACACGGTGCAATGTACAATTTCATGGATTAGCACCAACTCCACATTTTTCCTAAAGTAACTAAGATTTGGAAATTTGTAAAAGTGTTTAGTTACTTTGTATTTCATTATACTTATAATGGAAGGTTGTGTCCTATCCTACTCGTTTGACTAACAACCCTCCACTAGTCAAGAGTGCGGTGGGTAAGAGTGGATACCCATTTAATCGCCATTTTATAGGCAATTTCCTTAAACACCCCTTACAGACCAACTTCGTGAATGAGGCCTACTAATAGTAAGACTGACTCTTTACTTATACATATGTAATATTAAACTTTTAATTCTATATAGTATAAGGGTGTATTTTACACTTCTAAAATACTAGGTGGTTTAATCTATTAATAAATTAAACTTTTAATTTAATTAACTTAAACCATATTATTATGAATTTATTAATTATCTCCTTTAATTAAACACTAATTAATTTAATAAAACCATAAGGGTGTAATTTGAACTTTTCAAAAATACTAGGGTCTTAGAATTTAATATTTCAAAATTAATACTTTTTAATTAAATTTTAAATTCCTATACTTGAGGACAAGTTACCTTTCAAAGCATTAGGATTTAACTATTTAAATTTCAAAAACCAAAACTTTTAAGTTCAAATTTAAACTATAAAACCTAAAGGGTGTAAATTGAAACTTTTTCAATCTTACTAGGTCAAATATATGACTAATAATAATCCTATATTATCCATATTTAACGAAATCCATCAATTTTGATGAGGATAACCATTCCAAACTTCAAAAATCGAATTTTGGCAATTATCCTCAACAAATTTTGGCTAGAAAATCGAAATTCCCAGCACCAAACCCTTGGACTCATCGAGTTCACTATGGAACTCGTCGAGTCGGATCTACTCATCGAGCCCATACATGGACTCGACAAGTCTGCCAGTCAGAAACCAAAAAAATTCGATTTTCAAGATCTTTATGGTTCACTTTTGCATCTATTCACTAGAAAAACGACCTACGCTCTGATACCACTGCTGGGTTGTAAGCATAACAACATTCCTATGGTGTTCATGCAACCCGAATTGCTTTGATCCAAATTTTTTTAAGTAAACATACAACATTGAATACCAAAGCAATAAACCCTAATTGACTAGCATAAAAATCCGAAAAATCACATATGATTAGGGTTTATATCATACCTTGATTGTTATGTAGCAATAACAATCACAATACTTCTTGATCTTGATCTTGACTTATGAAAGCCTAGTGCATCAAATGTTGCACCTCTAATAGAGTCACAAACACTCTATGTAAATGATGAAGTAGGAGAGAAGGATTTTTGGCCACCTTAGGGTTTCTTAAGCCTTTGATGAAATTTCCCTTGTAATAGGGTCGTTTTTAGTTGTGTGGGCTGCTAGGGTTTCATATGGAAACCTTAATTCTCTGCTTAGGCCTTAAGCAATCTATGGAGCCCACCTAAAAAGCCCTTGGATGAAATCTTCTTGGACTCTTAATAGATTTCGTCCAATCCCTCTCTATTAGGAATCTATGGCCCAACTAGCAACTATCAGATAATTACATTATCAGTCCCCTTTATTTAATCAGTCTCTTTTTATCACCAAATTAATTTCTGATCAATACTAATTAAATAATGTGATTTCCAAATAATATATTAAACTTGTAATATATTAATAAAACCATTTTCGAGTACCAATTTATTATACATATAATAAATTCTACTCTCTCTTATCTTGTTATCCTATCAAGTTGCATGAGTAAAGGCAACCCAAAAGGACCATGCTCATAATCGGGTTAAGTACATACCAAAATAGTTACGGGCTTAGGCACCTAATCCAACATTTTTCTGCCAGAAAAATGAGTCGGAGGTTTCTAGAAAAAACTTTCGGTCGCTGGAAAATTATTGGCAGTGGTGCCGGCTTGTAGCGTCGCCGGAAAAGGTGCATACCGAAGCAGGTGTGGCGGTCGGCAGAGTAGGGGCGTCGCGGGCCATCTGGAGGGAATGGGTGTTGGTAGGTGGTTGGAGATGGCAGTCGTCGACGATGACGGTAATGGTGCTCGGCTGCTGGAGAAAAAAAGAGAGGAGAGATGGTGTTTTAGAGAGAATGGATAGTGAATTGGTGAAGAAATAGTCTAGCCCCTCATGCCTATTTAAAGTAAGGAGTGCTTACGATGGATGGCTGAGATCGTGCCGTGTGTTGCGATCTTAGGCCACGAGCCTCAGGTCCGAAATCCGACTTCTTGCAAAGAATCTCATTTCACTGGTTTGTAGTAATCGATCTTCTGATTTGTAAAATATAAAGATATCCATCAAACGAGTCACACTACGTGAAAATAAGTGTTTGAAAGTACGATGGTGGTGGGTTGTCGCTCCTATGATTCGATTGTTTTCGTGAAAGTACTAAAATTTCGTAAGATTCTTGGAATTGAATCAAATACTAGAATAGTTTCCGGTATGTAAAATGTTCATATTTTCACCGAACGTTTTGCATAGCTAATTTAAAAAATTGTATGGAAATTTGTTATCGGGAAAGTCGGTGTTGCACTGTCCGATCCTTAAGGATTTTTCGGGCAAAATGAGTTAAAGATGTATTTAGATGCTAAATTGCGTTACAATCGAGTGAGCATAAGTTGAAAACTCACCCTCTAAGGCATCTAACAAAGCATTTGAAGTTTCGTTTTAGAAGACTGACTTGTGCGTATACTTCGAAGTGTCATAACTTTTGCATATGAACCCCCTTTTCAACGTTTTTTATGTCAACAAAATCGTAATAATACGTACTTTATGAATTGGGTATTTTTTTATACAAAATAATACCCAATACATGCATTTATTTCAATAGTTTGTTTTTATTCTTCTTTTTTTTTTTTTTATAACGACACAGTTTTTGTTCTTTGTATACGAACTCCGTTTTCGACTTTCTTTATATTCAGAAAATCATAAGAACGCTTACTTTTTTAATTGGGTATTATTTGTACCAAATAATAATTAATACACATACCTATTTAATAGTACAGATTAATTCACTTTTATGTACAACGACAGAAATTTGTTAATTTTCGCTATTTGAAGGTTTATCTCATTTTCCAGATGTATTGCAATGTATAATATTTGAATTTTCATCAAGGGTTAATATCACAAAAGTTCCATGTTTTTGCCACTAAATTGGAAAAATCCCTGAATTTAATTTTTCATTTAATGTGACCACAATATTTTCTTTGAGTTATTGTTTGAGGGCAAAGAGCCGGTTTCACCGGTTTTAGTAGGTTTACTCCTTAGTCGAACGTTGCAGGTAGTTTTGGTTCGATTCTTCTCTCCAACTTCAAATCAAAAAGATGGTAAGCTCCTCCAACACGCACACACAAGGTTAAAAAGAGTGGGCTTTAAGGAATCGTTGGTCTGAAGATTTGAGATGCGATTGTGATGAATCTGCGACATTCTCGATCTCCAAAACTGTCGATAATCCATGGAGGAAATTCAGGGGGTGTCCAAACTATCAGGTAATATTAAGTAATTTTTTGTGGTCTTGTTGAAGCATTATGAACAAGTGATTGTTCTGCAGGACTCCAAAAAAAATGCGGCTTTTTTATGGCTTGATCCACCCCTGCCAAACACTTATTACAAGGAAACTATGTGGAAGTTCCATATGGATTTGGAGGAGGCTAACAACAATAAAGCATTTGCAATGGAGGTTTTCAAGCTTTCGGAGGAGGCCAAGAACAACAAAGAAGTTCAACTAGATATTTTAAACCTGTTGAAGGTGGAGCTACTTATGATGGTCATGCTTTTGGTGGTGGTGATAGTGATGGGGTTTATGGTTCACAATGTTATGGTTAAAGCAATGTGAAGTTGTGGGCATTAGTTAGGTTCAGGTGGAATGGTAGTAGTAGTAGTTTAGGTGTAAGGGTATTTTGGTCAAGTTAGGCAGTAAGTAGATGCATGTGTTATGTATGGCAATTTTTTGGTTTTGTAAGAGATGACAATGACAACAACTTATTATGTATTAATGATAACAATGTATTAAGTCCTTTAAGGGTTAAATATGTATAAACCTACTTACCAAACTAACCAAAATATGGAAGGTAACAACAATTATAGTGATCAAGGCATATATATATATATATATATATATATATATATATATATATATATATAACTTAACAATCATACCAAATATTTAACAGCCCCAAAAATAGGAATGTACTTTACAATGCTTCCCAAAAACCACTATCATACCATTTAACCTAATTAGAACCAAACTTCCAATTCTACCAAACATTATGAATATGAATTGGAAACTTGTTACCAAAACACAAGTGTACCATTTGTAGATGTTTACAAAAAGGGCAACCTATTTACTAATGCCCATTCTACCCATTGAACCCTTAAACATAAAAAGTAGATGTTTACAAAAAGGGCATTTGCAATGGAGGCTGACAACAATAAAGCATTTGCAATGGAGGTTTTGAAGCTTTCGGAGGAGGCCAAGAACAACAAAGAAGTTCAACTGGATATTTTAAACCTGTTGAAGGTGGAGCTACTTATGATGGTCATGCTTTTGGTGGTGGTGATAGTGATGGGGTTTATGGTTCACAATGTTATGGTTAAAGCAATGTGAAGTTGTGGGGATTAGTTAGGTTCAGGTGGAATGGTAGTAGTAGTTTAGGTGTAAGGGTATTTTGGTCAAGTTAGGCAGTAAGTAGATGCATGTGTTATGTATGGCAATTTTTTGGTTTTGTAAGTGATGACAATGACAACAACTTATTATGTATTAATGATAAAAATGTATTAAGTCCTTTAAGGGTTAAATATGTATAAACCTACTTACCAAACTAACCAAAATATGGAAGGTAACAACAATTATAGTGATCAAGGCATATATATATATATATATATATATATATATATATATATATATATATATATATATATATATTGATAACTTAACAATCATACCAAATATTTAACAGCCCCAAAAATGGGAATGTACTTTACAATGCTTCCCAAAAACCACTATCATACCATTTAACCTAATTAGAACCAAACTTCCAATTCTACCAAACATTATGGATATGAATTGGAAACTTGTTACCAAAACACAAGTGTACCATTTGTAGATGTTTACAGAAAGGGCAACCTATTTACTAATGCCCATTCTACCCATTGAACCCTTAAACATAAAAAGTAGATGTTTACAAAAAGGGCAACCTATTTACTAATGCCCATTCTACCCATTGAACCCTTAAACACAACTCCTTACTCTAAAACCCAAGGGGTTTTGGAGGAACCACCACCATCAACATCTTCAACCATTTTCCTAAGCCTCAACTTCCTAATTCTTTTAGAGGGTTTCCTCTTTTTCTCCCAATGGAGGGTAGGACTGTTGCTCCAACCTCTGTCTCTTCAACTCCTTCTTCCTCAACCACTATGCCTTTAACTTCTTTTTGCTCAACCTGTATGCCTTCACCTTCTTCTTCTTCAACTCCTTCCTTAGCCTCTTTTTCTTCAATCTGTTGTTCCTCAACCTCTCCATAAACCTACAATATGGAAGGGTAGTTAGTAAATCTACAATATGAAGCCAGAAATAGTGATTACCAGAACATACCTCTTTCATAGTAGCCACTGCATCAGCATGTGTATATCCAGACATCAGCAACTCTTGTAAAGTTACTCTTTCACTCACCTTCACCTCATTGTCATCATGTTCTTATTCCTGAACATCCTCTGTTGCTTGACTCATACCTTGCTTACCATTAGGTGCATGGGTATGAAGATCAACAAAATCCTCATCACAGGTTAGGGACACATCCTTCTTTGCATTAATCTTATGTTTCTTACCATTAGGTGTTTTCTTTGGTGTTTTGTTCCTTGATCCAGACACTTTAGTTTTCCCTCCTCTCCTTGCCTTCATCTTAGTCCTTTTCAGAGGACTAATATTAGGACCACCTACTTGATTACTAGATTCTGAAACTGGGGGAGGAGTAACATCACTTCTTGGTACATCAGGCCCACTTACTTGATCACCACATTCTGAAACTGTGGGAGGAGCAGCATCACTTCTTGGTATAGTAGGCTCAACTGGAGGGAATTGATCAAAGATAGTTTGGCCTCCCCCATCTTTCCTAGGTCTTCCAATCTTTCTTTTTGGGATAGGTGGTTTAGGTACCTCATCATTTATGCATGAAATCTTATTATGCCCAAGTTGTTGATGCTTGCCACACCTCACAGTCCTAGTAACCTTTAACCTTTGAGAGGGGTATTTGGCATCTTCTGATTCAGATGCATGCTTCACTCTATTTACTTTGGGCCTTCCAGGCATCCTTCTAACGAGGGGTGGTAATGGTTTAATAAACTCAGTCACTGGCCACAAGTTGCTTCCACCAACAGGTTGTATGTTCTGACTGTAGGTTGCAACATATTTGTCCTTGTGGAACTAAGATGAAATGAATTCGCTTGGATCTTTGTGGACATAGTTGATTGCAGCTTGACTATGCGCACATGGTAAACCCGACAACATCCACAAGTTGCAGGTGCAAGTGTGATTGGCTAAATCAACCTTGTATCCATTGTAGTCATACCTAGTCTCAAACACATCACCACCACTTGGCACCACTGTCCACAACCTACACAAAAAACAAACAAAGTACACATATAAATACATACTTAATATTTTTGGATACATGCCAATAAAAACTTATATTACCTCATATCTTTCCCAAATTCATTAAGCTTCAGTTGTGTGTTAGGCCCATAATTACCCCTCCATTTGGTGGCCTCTTGACCTTGATGAAAAAACCTTTTCATAAGGAGAATCCTTATTTTCTCAAGCATTGTGATTATAGGCTTCTTCCTTATTTGTTTGATCATGGCATTGAAGCATTCTGCAACCCCATTCTCTACTGCTTCACAAGCATACCCATGAGAAAAGAAGGCTATGAACCAAGTTTTAGGTTTCCTTGCCATAAGATAATTGTATCATGTTTCTGTTATCTTCTTTATCTTCTCCATTGTAGCAAGAAAGTCCGCTTCCACTGTACTCATAACAACTTCCTAGAACAAACTCTTTAGCTCTAATCCTGTGAATTTCTTTCTAAAGTTTGCAAAGATGTGTCTAGCACATTGTCTATGCTCAACATTAGGGAGTAGGTCTGCCACAGCCTGTAAAAGTCCTTATAATTAACAAACAAACACAACACAACACATGTAAATATTAATGACTGTAACATACAAATATATATTGTATACTAGTGTATGTTGTGGTACCTTGTGTTGGTTTGAGATAACAACCAATCCATTGCCAGCACCAAGATCCAAATTAGCAACCAAATTATCAATGAACCAGGTCCAGTTGTCCTTATTCTCAACATTCACAATTGCCCATACTATTGGGTAGACATGGTTGTCTGCATCCCTCCCAATAGCAGTTAAAATCTCCCCCTTAACCTGCCCCTTCAAGAAACTACCATCTAGTCCTATTACCCTTCTACATCCTCTGCTCCATGAATCTCTGAAAGACTTGAAGCCAACATAAAACCTTTTGAAATAGTTAAACCCCATATTACTTTCTACCCCCACCAAGCAACTTGTACCCGGATTACTCAACCTAATTACAGCTGCATAGTCCCAAATCTTGGCATAGTGATCTTCTAACTTCCCTTCTATCATCCCATTGCAGTAGCCCTTGCTCTTTGGCATTGCCCAAGAGATACACTCACTGAAAACCTTTGTAGCACATCTGCTTACATCTCTATCAATGTCATCTTAGGCTTCATGATTACATCTTTCAGGTATTGTTTGGCTAACCAACTGCTAGTAACTAAGGAACCAAAATGATAATTCCTAGCACACAGATGCATTTCATTACAAAATTTTATCTAGAATGTTCTTTCATTGTACTTCCATCCAGCTGCAACCCTAAATGGACACTGCATTTTGTTATTATCATTGTTATCCCTGGTTCTACTACCACACTTAGCTATAACCCTCACTCTATCACTTTTTTCAAAATAAAGCTGGTACCCTCCATGGACTGCATAATTAGTTAAAGCTAGCAAACCTGAGTTGAGTAGGGGATTCATAACAGTCTCCTAATCGGGGCATCATCTCTTTCCAGTCAACATTGGGATCATGCACCCTATATTCCACACTAACATCTTCATTGTCCTCATCTAAGTGGGCATGCTCTTTTTGTTGGACACCAGGAATGTCTCCATCATCTACCATTCCATCAATACTCCTCCTTAATACGGTTTCATCACACAATAAGTTAAGAAACTGATCATCACATAGTCTTGAGGGGGATTTGAAAGTTTCTTCAGAAAAATCCAAGAAGCTAAAGTCAAATGCATCTTCATCGGAGTCAGAGTCTGGAAGATATGTCTTCTCAGGGAGCTTAGGCCCTTTAGGCTTCTTAGTTCCAGAAGTAGAAGCCATCTGTTTCATAAAAAAACAAAAACACAACTTGTTAGTTCAAACTTGGAGATCCATAGACGAAGATAACCACCCTCATAATCATCAATTTCTTGTTTCCATACACGTACCTTTCTACTCCAACCTTACTTCACCAACGATTTCGAAGCTTCGTGTTGCGAAACTAGGGATTGTGAAATTCTTCTCAGCGTCAAAACCTTCTCGAATGCATGAAAAACCCTTTAGCAGTGATGGTTCGTGAAAGGTGATGGCTACGGAATAGCTTAGTGGTGACCGGATGGTAGAGGTTACCTGCTGGTGACCGGCTATTTGCCCTTAAACGATAACTCAAAGAAAATGTCGTGGTCACAGTAAATGAAAAATTAAATTCATGGCTTTTTCCAATTTAGTGCCAAAAACATAGGACTTTTGTGATATTAACCCTTTCATCAAAAAGAATCAAACATTACACATTGGGCCTATTACATTGACATTCGTTATGTTTGCGATCGACGATCGTTGACTTATTTTCATTGTTGTCACACATTGCACATACGTTTATGTTGTCACATAAAACGTTTCAAGACTTTTCCAAACAATGTGAGATGTGACACCTTTTTGAGCATCATTTGTAGCAATGAGTGTTTGAGAGTATCCTAAATCCATAGGTTGGCAAGAGAATCCATTTTGTGCCAATCCAATGATAGTTTTCTAGGGGTTGCTTCATAAAGATGATGTTCTACTCCAAAGCTTACACAGCATCTTTCAAAGAGTTCTTGCCAAGTATTATAGTTTAACGTCGTCAAGATCGAGTGTAAGGCGTACGTTGGTACGTATGTTGGTGATACCGAATTAATGACTTTTTGGCGGCAACTTTGTCCCTAAAAGGAGGCATGATGGAGGCATTGTAAGTCATGGATGTGGTAGGGCCGGCCATGATGTGGAAGAGAATAGGGAGATAAGATCTAGAGGAGAAGAATTAGGAGACTTGAATTTTGGTATTTGATGCCATAATAGAAGGCATTTTAAGTAGTTCCATGTATTGCAATAGTATAAATATACAATGAGATAGGCCGATTCGAAGAGGGGCCAAGAGCTTCAGTATAAAACAAAACACGGGCTACACTAAGCTAAATTCAAATACAAATATACGAAACATACGTGTATTGGTTTATACTAATTCAAACGACCATAAATAAGTAAGATGATGCCATCAGAGAATAGCTTGGAGCATGGTTATATTATTTGATAACAAATTTATTCATATATAACATTATAAAAAATTATTCAAGTGCTAAAATTGTGATATATAAAATGCCTTCATTTTCCGTGAAGTAAAAATTAAGCAGGCCAACCACAAAGTATTGGTAATTCTACTCGTGCATGTAAATATTCTTTGTATAATTGATTATAAGAAACAAAATGGGAGCACTAAAAAGAGGTATACCTCCCACTTTAAAAGCCAAAAGGATTTGGAGTATCAACTTTCCATTTTGGGGGTATTTATGGAGACATGTGTACTATAAAGGGAAATTTTAATAGAATATCAAAGGCTAGTGACGGTAGATGGGGGGGGACTGGTATTAGGTATGAACTAAATGAATGGCACTGGTATATATACTTTAGAGATCAGAATTCTATATGTCAAAGTGTCCACACCACTTAAAAATATCTTTATAGAAGCTACTGTTGTGCACACGTAGTGATTCCCTAATAACGACGAGATTGACAACTCTAGTGACATTGGCTCTGTTACAACAAAATTGCAAGATGAGCACATAAAGTTTAATTTGAAGATAGCATATCCGGAAAATTACAATACATTGTAAAATTTCTCAAAACATTTATATTATATCGAAAAATTTGAAGGATATTCGGAAAATTAAAATACACAGTAAAATTTCTCAAAACATTTACATTATATCGAAAAATTTGAAGGATAGCACCAATGACGGTTCTAAGGGGTTCCCGGTGTGGCACCGGCAACCTTTAACTTTTCTGGCCGCAATAAAATTTTTTTCGATTTTTCAATTTTTTCTATCTATTTTTTATGTATCGGTAACACCTATTCATCCCGACAACGCCTATCATGTATTCCTGTGTCCGTCCCTAAATAGCACAGTCTATCCCTTGCAAGCAAGTGAGACCGCCCCGTCGTAAAAACGATTCATCAATTTAAATTTTTCAAAACTCAATATATTTGTTGAGCTTTTCTGTTAGTTTATTTATGAGACCCAATCAATTTTATTTATAATATTTTATTATAGTTTTTAGAAATTGTCTTTTTATAATTTATTGAAAATTTATGAGCCCGCCGTAATCACCAAAAGAACTCACACATGACCTTATAAATAATTAAATATAGAACATCTAAAATACATAGTTTAATACAAGATTTAAATGAGATAAAATAATTAGTTAAATGTGATAAAATAATCATTTGACATTCAACGTATTAAATTCAAATATAGTGAGATGGTATGTTGGTGTTTAATGAATATATAATTTAATATCAATTGAACTTTTTTTTAAGCTTAAAGTAAATATTATATTAAACTATTATAGAGTTTAATATATTATAGAAAAATAAAAATAAAAGATTTTTACGAAAAAAAATATATAATAGAGTTTTATGGAATAAAAAGACCATATAATAATTAATACGCTCGATAGAGTTTTAAAATATTATTGTTAGATTGATGGAGGAGTGTCGAGTGCACCGAACTCTATCTCAGCCAAACACCAATTTTTTCATTAAAATGTCAAACAAAGGGAGTGGAGGAAATAGGGAAGAATAAGGTTGTGATGTAGGAAGAAGAAAGGGGGGAAGAAGAAGGCAAAGAAGAGAGAGCTCGACAGAAAATCACCGAGTTTGGTCAACGAACTCGGTGTGTCAAGTTTGTGGCCTGCTGTTCACCAAGCCTACGTCGGATTTGTCGACCGATGCCGATAAGCCTTACAAGTTGATAGAAAAAGCTTTGGAATTAGTAAACTCTCAAAATAACTTTTAGGCAAAACTGCAAAAATGGTCTTTATGGTTTGCATTTTTTTTCAAGAAACACTCTAAACATCTCAAAAGTTGGAGAATAGTCATTTTCAACAAGTTTTCTTGTGAATTTGATCCCTAAAAAACTTGAAGTTTCTATTATACTCATTAAATTTCTTTTTCTCATTAATTTTAATTGTTTTACCATCTTTCTTGTAACTTATATTTATGTTTAGAATCATTATTATGAACTTATAAATAAGATTTATCAGTAATACTAGTCGTTATATTGATCGATCTATTTACGAGAGAGATGTTTATGCTAGACATGTGACGTATTTAAAGTGAATTTTCCAAACGGTTCGCTAAGGCTGAGCGACCAATAGCTAGAGATGCTACATGTTCCATTGTTGTTGTATGGGATCCTCCCATGTTCAAAGGAGGAAAGACCAAAGAGATGGAATGTGTCTTCCGTATTAGTGACTGCCTTGTGGAGACAGGAGTTTAGTTCGTTATGCAACTATTAAGTCATGAAATAGAAGGCCATTAGAGAGTTACCATTTAGTATGTTGATGTAGCCAAATCAAAAGACCTTATATTGGGTTGAGTCTACGAACCAATTTATGAAGGAGTGGGAGTCTCCTATAAAAGTTGAGTTTGTGACTCAAGACTTAGGACTGAAAGTCCATCGGTGGATGAAAGAACAAGTATAGGTTCAAGCATAACCATCAACAAATAGGTTCAAACCTATTGATTCTCTCAGGAGGTTAGTGGAGTTGTAATTGTTGTAGCTAGTATATAGAGGTGCATGCAAGTGTATTTAATATAATTTCACCCAAGTGCTTCTATATGATCGAAAGGATCATTACAAGAGGATCAACTGGAGCGTGACAAGGTTAACTGTCCTAGAAAAGAGAGAGGGGTGAAATTGATTACAACAACCATCGTTGTTGCTAGTAAGTTCCATTACGTTAGTAATATCCTCTTATACCATTTTCTATGCATATACCTTGGAAGACGATTTCATACTTGTCATGATCTTGATCAGACTATGGTCCTGATATGCGAGAATATCATTCATTATGAGCACAAGCAATGATGCTATGTGAGGATGTTAAAGTCATTGATATGAAAAATAGGTGTTTCTTCCAAGAAGAAAAGCGGTTGCAAATCACATAAGTAGAGCAAGCTTGGACTTTGTTCGGTTGTAAGTAGGAGCAGATGAAGGTTTGAACCCAAGTGGGGGAGGAGTAACCATTATGGCAAAAGTGTGAAAACCCACTCGACTTCGGTTTTAACATCAAGATCCATGAGAGTTGCAACACAAGAAGCTAGGATGAGTTATTAGCTCTAGTTTTGTTATGTATATGTTCACATGGATGTTTTGGTCGCCAAGTGAGGACACGACATCAAAAAAATCATGAGGGAACTTGAAACCTTTACCTATGCCTACAGGTAAATGGGGCGATCTTAACTTGGGTCTTATCATCAAGTGTCCCAGGGTTGTGTAAAACCACGATGTGTTATACGTCATAATTGACCATTTAATAGAAGTATACCTTTCTAGGTATCACATATGTAGAGAATTATTCTATAAAGGACGTTTTCACAGACTCATTTTATGAATAAGTAAATATTTTTTATTTGAGACAATCCTTTCATTTCTTGAAAATACTTATGTCAGTGATAATATGAAAATAGTTGTCGACCAACAAAGTCGAAACCCAAGAGGGGAACAAAACCATTAAAGATTCGTGAAATTTGTCCATTAATCCTTATTAGGATGAGAAAAGTGATTGTGTGGAGAGTTCAGCATAATAAAGACACTTATTCATAGTGAAATTTCAAAATGTTGATGTTTTGATAATGAAACTAGGTCGACAGACTAATAAGCTGTTGTAAAGAAACCAAAATATTATTTCGAGTATAAAGAAATAGGGTCGATTAACATAGTACTGTGACATCATAGTACAAGTCAAATTCTTACTTGGGGATCGAAAGGCGAACTAAATAATCACTATTTTGAGTTGTTTTGATG